AAAAAAAAGAACTGAAAGATAATTATGCAAATAAAGTGAACGAAAGACTTAGACACGAACTTTTCTTTCACAGAAAATGAAAAATTTTTCCATAAATGGACAGTTCACCATAATGATAAACGCTCTGGAAGTTGAAATGATCCAGCTTTCCTCTGGCTTAGAATTAACATCCGTGGTTCTCACTGAAAAAACTTTTCCTCCGAACACGCAGACGCTCTTCTCATTCTTAGTTTTCAAAACTTTTGTTCTCGCCTCGTTCTCTAGCAGGACGTTCCCCAGACTTTTGTTCTTTTCTTCTTATGTGCTTTATTTTTCGCTTTGTGTATTTCGGCTCTCCCTGGTGTTGATTTTTGTCAAGTAGTTACTTATTATCATTAAAAGTACATACATGGCGTATGAGTAACATTCTTACCTAGTCATATATACTAACATATATGTATTTTAAAAGCCGTTTTTTTAGTGTTCGCAAAGCTCGAGAACGGCTGAACCGATTCTTCTGAAACTTCAGACAACTGCCACACGTGTCACAAGGATGGTTTTAGGCTAAAAAAATTCTATATGTAAAGGGGGCGTGGCATCTCCAATACAAACCGAATTTTTTCATACTCCATATCTCTGGAAGTGTTCATGGTAGAGTTCTGGAACTTCGTATGGAGATATACGAAATCAATCGCATTCTCTTGGAGAAAAATTGGGGCTATTGCAAAAGGGGGCGTGGCACCTCCCATACAAACCGAATTTCTCATGCTACATATCTCTGAAAGTGTTCGTGGTAGAGTTCGAGACACTTCACGTTCATTTTTCTGGAACTTGGTATGGAGATATACGAAATCAATCGCATAATCTTAGAGAAAAATTAGAGCTATTGGAGAAGGGGGCGTGGCAACTCCCATGCAAAGCAAATTTTTCATACTACCTATCTCTGGAAGTGTTCATGGTAGAAAAAGTAAAGCTATTGGAAAAGGGGGCGTGGCATCTCCAATACTAACCAAATTTTTCATACTACGTATCTCTGGAAGTGTTTGTGGTAGAGTTCTGGAACTTTATATGGAGCTATACGAAATCAATCGCATACTGTTGGAGAAAAACTTAAGCAATTGGAAAAGGGGACGTGGTACCTCCCATACAAAACCTATTTTTCATACTGCATATTTCTGGAAGTGTTCATGGTAGAGTACTGGAACTTGGTATCGAGATACATAAAATCAATAGCATACTCTGTTGTAAAAAGGGGTGTGGCACCTCCCATACAAACCTAACTTTCCATACTGCATATCTCTGGAAGTGTTCATGGTAGAGTTATGGAGCTTGGTATGGAGATATAATAAATCAATCGTATAATCCTGAAGAAAAATTGGAGCTATTGG